TCTATGATGCATACAAGATCCAATCTAAGATCCCTTCAGTTGTATAACATTAGTAATGTTTATGCATGTACTCACTGTTGACGCATACATGTAAGAAACTTCTGCCTCGTCGTAATGCTCGTGAGGAATCAAGTGGTAAGGCCGCTGCCCGAGTGGATAGTTCAGATAAGTAATTAGTAGATTTCCAAAGGGGAAAAAACTTTTCAACCAATTTGCGGCGCAGTTGGACTGTCTTCACAAGATATGCAGGCCACAGCCTGTCCGATTCTTTAAGCCGAGAAATTACCAGTGCTTTCTCTGCCTAGGGCCTAGCACAGATCGTCTGGAAGCAGGCTGGACTTCATTTATGGAGCAAAAAGCAAAGAAAATATCGTTTTTGACGAGTCGGGGCCGTGCACCAAGAATAAGAGACCCGTCATACTTCGCCAAAAAAAGCCCAAAGAAGCCCGAGAAAGCCCAAAAAAGCCCGAAAAAGCCCGAAGAAGCCCAAAAAAGCGAACGCCCGTAAAAGGGCTCGGACCTGGGAGGAGTTGCAGGTGCGCTCCATCGCCATTTCGATTAGAGCACCGTTTTTTCAAGTGGGGCGCACTATCTCCTAACACTTAGCGTTTCGCAAACTTTCCAAAGAGATGGAAGACTGGGAGAGGGACCATGTGCAAATTAATAGAATGTTTTGGTTCATTCCGCTTGCATGTACTTTTCCTCTTCTCAAGCTGTCAGGACATATCATCATACCCTATGGTTCTCATGATTTGGCGCTCATGCATTACTCAACAATACTTTTGCTTTGTGTTCTTCTATATATGACCTTTGTTTTGGTTCTTATTTTACTCTACTCACTAGAGTTATGCAACAACGCTTTTGGTCCAACAACGAAAAAAGGGGAGACGATCAAGAGGCGCGATTTCTCCGGCTGTCACCAACTTAAAACTCCAGTGTAGTGCTATACGAGTCTTCAAAAAACCAGACAAAGTGCATTGGATTACTATCTGTCTGAGGTTACCACTTGCTAAGTCTGGTGGCTTTTGCTGGAAAACTAACCAAAATACTTACAAATTTGTTCTTAACTGCATTTTCATGAGTTTTTGACCTTCTCAATTGCTGTTTTGAATTGAATCTAAGGTAGCAAGATTGAGCAACCCATGCAACTATCTAGTCCAGCCATAGTTAGCATTTACCCTCTATAACCTTTGCCTGAATTTACGCTTGAAACTCATTGTCAGTAACTGTCTTGAACTTCCGTTTTTGGGTTAATCTCTGCTGCTCTAACTTCTCTTTGAGTTCACACCACTTGAGGATCCACTTTGTGCAGCTTTTAGAAGTATCTTAGGGCTGCTAGCGCTAAATTGGGATGGATTTAGCACTGGTGTTCGTGTGCGAACTCTTTTTACGGCTCGCATGTGGCCAATCAAATTCTGGCAACAGCTGTGTTTCAGTCCTTCCTACTCCTTCAAAAACATCCTTTACGGTGTTGCTTTGTCTTTTTTTTTCTTGAGACGACCTATAACTGTCTTGTAATTACATAACTTATCTCGAAAACATAAAATTCTTTCCTGAGATCTGCTGGCAAACTTGTTAGATCGACGTCTTTGAGGCAATGAGAGCTAAAAAAAGAAATCGAATGTGTCATATTTCAATTTTGCGCTTGATAGCAATCGTCGCCTTTTCTCATGAGCTTCAAAAGCGCTGCATAGTCGTAAATCATCATTGCTAATGTTGTTCGCTTGTCGATGATGCTTAGATTGAAAATTGAAGAAAAAATGGGTGGAAAATGGCAACTTTATGCTGGTGACCTTTATAGACTGTAACGTTTTGCTAAATGGAAAAACCGGGATTTTTGCAGTTAGTGAATAGTTTTGAATGTACAAAATCAATTTGCCCAGCTGTCAACCTCAGGAATTCTCTAGAAACAAACAAATTTTGAAACTTGGTGCTATACTAAGTTAACTATGAAACTTTACTTAGTGGAATTGAAGTAATGAGAATTTTTTTGAGCAAGAGCTGACCAATGTGCCGAACATAGAACTTGGCCTGCTGCCATGTTCTCATTGAGCATCACTTCGGGACAAGTTCGTAGTTTTTCGTAGGACGGGTTCATAGGCACATGCCGCAGGCTGCGTTCATACTAATCCGGAAATCTGGAAACCTTGAAACTTGGAGCAGATCTTACTTATCATTGAGATCCATTAAAGCATAGATATTGTATATATTCGTGGAAATACATGTGACAAGAGTCCAAACACATGTAGGGTCGGTCGAATATGCACAAAAAATCCAGCATGCTTGGAATTCATGTATTTCGAGCAAAACATTCTCAAGGATTTCAAATTTCTGGCGGGCTTGTGGGTTTGTGCTTCAAAGTTAAGCAGCAAAATGGTTTGATGTTTCACAGAATTTTTTCTACGCATGAAATGCACGCAAACGGGTCTTATCGTAACAAAGAATTGGCAGTTTTGATCCTCTGACATGATTTGTTCACATTTTACCGTCAAATTCCCACAAAGATGTCAAAGACTATACGTGTACTCAAAAACTACCCAGATCGGCGTGGAAGTGTTTGGAGATAGTGCGCTCCAGTTGAAAAAACTGTGCTCTAATCGAAATGGCTATGGAGCGCACCTGCAACTCCTCCCAGGTCGGAGCCCTTTTACGGGCGTTCCAAAAAAGCCCAAAAGCGCCACAAAGAGCCGGAACACTTCTCGCACGTTTTGGCGCTAAGGCATGTGTGTTAACTTCGCAATCGAGCCTTTGAGGGATGTGTGGGATGTCAAATTAACGTCATTTTCTGTCGTCCGCATGATAAGATAATGTAGAATTCTACCAAAAGTTTGTTCCTACATTCCGGCTTCTGGCGCTTTCGGGCTTTTTCGGGCTTCTTTGGGCGCTTTTGGGCTTTTTTGACGAAGTATGACGGGTCTCTTATTCTTGGTGCACGGCCCCGACTCGTCAAAAACGATATTTTCTTTGCTTTTTGCTCCATAAATGAAGTCCAGCCTGCTTCCAGACGATCTGTGCTAGGCCCTAGGCAGAGAAAGCACTGGTAATTTGTCGGCTTAAAGAATCGGACAGGCTGTGGCCTGCATATCTTGTGAAGACAGTCCAACTGCGCCGCAAATTGGTTGAAAAGTTTTTTCCCCTTTGGAAATCTACTAATTACTTATCTGAACTATCCACTCGGACAGCGGCCTTACCACTTGATTCCTCACGAGCATTACGACGAGGCAGAAGTTTCTTACATGTATGCGTCAACAGTGAGTACATGCATAAACATTACTAATGTTATACAACTGAAGGGATCTTAGATTGGATCTTGTATGCATCATAGATTCTGAGCAGATTCTGCACTATACAGCCAGTTTTCCTAAAAAGAAATCACACGACAAAATTAACATTTCCAATGCCTGAGCAATGAAAAAGAATATGAAAAACAAGTTTTGCGGACAGCTCGCACTGTGAGAGAGATTCACAGGCATAAAAAACATGGATTATGAAAGATAAGACATCAAAAGTCCAGCGAGGGCACACCTCATTCACGATAGATTAGATATCGAAGTGGGCATTGATACAAAAGAAAAAATTAGATATCGTGCGCATATGGCACCTACGCGTGAAGTGACGTGGCAGTATCACAAATTACCAAACCCCTGGGGAGTCCCCTTGTGCTGGTCTTCAGAAATCTCTGCATTTTTGGAAATTTCCGAGATTGGGAAGTTTCTAACTGCTTTTGACATTAATGTTCTCCGAAATTCCATTTTTTGCGCTCCCATTCACCTCTTTACTGAATGAAATTCTCGGGAAATTTGCGAAAATCGCTTGCCCTTGGGAAGTTCCCATGAAGTTTCTGGCATCATCGCTCCCAGTGAGGAAATACCATTATTTTAGACTTCCTGTATTTTTTCTTGAAAAAAAAAATGGGTGAAATCTAATACAAAGAGCGCATAAAACTAGTAATTACCATTTGATTCAACTGGGTTGGCATCGGCAAAGGCGGGGCTGCGTGACCTAATTAAGTCTAAGTCGATTTCACCCCGAATCAGGCAAAACATTCTACGTGGAGCAGCGAGTGTGCATCGCTAGAGACTTCGCGAGCGCATGGCGCTGGCGTTTTGCCAAGCAAAGACCAAGGAGAATGAAGAGACGCAGGCTTGGGTTCTCAGCGCGATATGATATAGTACTGTGGCTGCGACACGGCGCGAACCGTTGCGAGGCGGACGCCCGCCTATCCACTTTCCGCCTAAAGCGGTTCGAAACTACTGTAGGTAATGATCAGACAGCACTCGCGCGAGAGAGACGCAGGTGCGCCGCGGGCGCGAGCGGCTTCAATTAGATCACAAAACCCCGCCCTAATGGTGCCAAGCCAGTTGAATCAAAGATTACACTGCAATTTCATTAGCGTCCTGTGGTCCTAGCAGACTAGTACCGTGGTCTGTCACTATGCACGACTTCCACTATCCCTAGATATGCCTTCCATGTGCAGATCATTTTGGTGGCACGAAAAAAAAAGTATAACAGTGGCAACTCGTATGTTAAAAATTCAGCTGCAGCGAAAACAGAGAAGCTTGACGTAGCGTCGCGATAAAACCTCAGTTCAAATGTTTTCGCATACCTGAGCTCATGCATCCCGTTAGTTCCAGATATGAAGCTTGGAAAGCACGAAAATGGGCTTCTCCTTACTCTTCTCAAAAACGAATTTGGACGAGGAGACGCAACGCACCCCCACCTGCATAACATCCACAAACAATACCCTGCATAGCGGCGGATACGAAGTCACCCCACATGACTGAAAGCAGCGTCACCTTATGGGGAGCAGTCCAAGGTTGTAATTGTAGGGATGATGTCGCAAGCCCATTGAGAACGAATTTGATACAAAACAGCGTAAAAAGCGACGAAATTCCCGAGAACGTCGGCTGCATCCCATCCCATTAATGAAAAGATAATATGCTCGCTTTGCGATAGAAAATGATACAAAGTGTGTACTTTCAGAGGAGCAAGAACCTAAAAAATTTCATTAGTATATTTTTAGTGACATAACAACAGAAACAAAACTCTTCAATAATTTTATAGATCCTCAACGAAAAAACCATCTACTCCAACTTCTTCCTTTTCCGACTAGAGAACACATTTTGGCTGCCGCATTAGTCGAAACACAAAAAGGCGATGGAATTGTATCAATCTGAGCTGCTATAATATCAACTAGCGGTGTAAAACCGTGAATAAATGGAGGAAAATGAAACATGCACATCTTCCACATAGACCTAATGAACACGCAAGTAGAGATAAACGAGAAGGAGAATGGAAAGCTGATGATCTTTACAAAAACACCAAGAAGTCAAAACTACAATACAGATCCAAAGCTCTCAAAATGTTCATTTGTAAATTTGTAAAACTAATAAACGCACATTAACCAGCTCAATACCTACATTGCACCTGTCGCAGTCCAACAAAGGTGTTTGAGAGTGTAGAGGAAGAGAAGAATGTAGTGAAACGTATCAAACAAGAGATGACGAAAGCCAAGATATCACGGGGTGAAAAACAGCTTAATAGAATAAAACGTATCGATAGGAAAGTTATAAAACGAGTGACATTGTGTAATTCATACAAGTACTTCACTTAAAGTTGCAGAAAATATCCAACAGAATCTTCTAGACGTATGTTAACCAGCAGTCATTCCTCGCACCTGGAAAAAGCTATACGTAACAGCCAATATGGTACCATTATCACATACAGTGAATTAGTAATGGTGGATAACGAGATATAAAAACATGACGAAACTATCAAGCTCGTCATCCTTTCTCCAAGATTTGTACTCATCTCAACACCTTACGAACAAGGATAGCAGACAAATGTAATGAATTTCTCAACACTGTTGCTCGATAATCAATCCTTACACGGGTTATGCTTTCAATTTCAATAAAATCGTAATAATTTTGCTTGGCAGATCATGATTTCAAGTACTTCATGTAGATATGGTGCAGCCCCAAAATTTTCATATGAACCATCAACGTGGCTGTCTTTCAAACATCTTAACCATATCAACTTCGAATAAGAACCTCAAATTTGCTGGAGTTAACGTGTTAAAGCGATCAAACGCCACGTTGATGCTTCACATGAGAAAATTCTAGGGAATGCACGATATGATTACGGTGATGGTTTTAGAACGTCCAAACGCAATTTATTCTTCTACTGTAATAGAATAGCATATCACTCGTGCTCAAAATCTCTCTTAAGAAGTTGAAAACGGATGAAATGAATATAATAAATGCTCCCTCGCTTCATACGATAGCCCCACCACCATCTGCACAAATTCTTATGGATAGGTGGCTACCATAAGAAATCCATTATGTAGCTAAACAAACCTTTTTCAGTTATATCAACGTCAAATATATTGACGAGCCCCTAGGTAACAAATTTCCACCGAACTTAGGATAGACAATAGTGCAAGTCTTATCAAGGAATTCAGGAGGAAATTGCCAGAAAGAAAATGGTTCTAAAGGTAAAACTGAAAGAAAAATGGAGAAATATCAATCACTGGGACCCGCTCATACTACTCTAACCTCATTATGATTGATATCAAGAAAGTAATAAGCTTCGTGAAAAAAAAGAGGGTTTTCACTTTGTAAACTCATCAGATATTAGTCGACTAGACGGAAGACAACACAAGAAAACATAGAAAAATAAGAAATAAACTAAAAATACCTCCTGTAACAGATTCTTCTTTCAACTACTACCATTTGTTCCATGAAAATAGTTTTATATGTTTGCATGCAGAACGAAAAAAAAAAGAAAGAAATTAAAAGATAATGCTGACCGTTCCAGTCTTTCGTTGCTCTTCCAGCTCTTTTTGAGCCTTGGCTTCTATAGCTCTGATATCCTCCATCGTCAAACCGTGCCACTTATCAATCCAACAAAACACCTCGCGGTGAAATTTGGAAAATAATCGAGGGTATTGCTAAACAGAAATCAGTGAAATGACAACTTTAATCAACAAGAAATGCACGTACTGTGTGAGTGTAACTTTCAACCATTTTTTGGAGACCAAACCATTTGAAGTGAACACTGACAAGCTTGTAAGCACACATAACTGGTTCAACCGTTTCCTGCCAGTTCTCGGTCAGAGGGCCTCTGAAATGAACCACGTAAAGATTGCTAAATTTCTTAGGCCAATTACTTCAAAGGCTCGCTTATGGAGGCAACAATAAGAAAAGTCAAACAACGAGTGCTACATCAGTTGAAGTAGATGACACCACAACCGTCAAACCGCTCCGGAAATTCGGTAGCATTTAGCCGTTTGACCTTCCCATCGCTGCCATTCTAACTTTGGTTTAACTGTTATATCGCCTATGCAGCTTCTTACCTACTCATCATATTTACAACAAAAGACTCGCAGTAAGAAATAGAAGTGGCAAAATGGATAATGGTGCATGAGGGTTTAACTCAGACCTTAGTTTGTGAAGTGAGCGTCATCCACATTTTCATGCTTTACAAGGGAAGTAAACGACAATCGTGACATCACAGTATTTCCTCTGAGGGAACTATGCGGCACGCGCCCTTTGATTTATCTTTCGCAAAGGACTTAGCGTGTTGTGCGGAATTGTGCCGGCTTCATTACAATAATGGCACGATTCAAAGATTATCTCATGAGGCACAATGGGCAGTTACAGAATGATCGGCGCAAAGAGATGGGATATCGGGGGATATCGGGATTTCAACGTTCGAAATGCCTGCAAAATGGAGAGAATAGTAGGGGTGGTGAAGATAGAAGCTTTTTATAGTGTGCATGCCACCAATGGAAAGCAAAATGAATTCGAGAGGAAGAAGCAACTTGCTGAGAAGGTATAGAATCTGAATCGTTATGTATGATGAGTTTTGAAATAGCACAAAATGGCGACTAGCTATACACATTCAAAAGTCGCTACTTCTGCCAGATATTTTTAGTTTACCAGTTCCCAAATATGAGTTGTACCCATTAGAAGTCAACGTACTCATGAATTTTACCAGAAACAGTGATTTCAGTCTCTGCAATTTGGGTAGGTCAGTGAGGAAAAACGTCGTAGCTTGCAGCTTTGCTTTGACCTTGTCTATTTCTCCCCATAAATGTGAACAATATTAAGGACAGGCAATACTTCAGTACACGGCGCTTCTACAAATACTGCGCCACCATGAACCTGTGGAGGATTGTTTTCAAATCTCCCGTCTTATCCGCAGACCTTCTTTTTGCGATGTTTATAGGCGTTTACATCAGGACAGTATGTCAAGAGAAGATATGTTATGCCTACTTTTCTTTCATGCTCATTCGCCTATTTCTAAATTTAAATCAACACATTAATGTTTTCCCAGGCTTGTTACCTCGAAGATCACCAACTTTCAATGGCAAGAGCAAAACCTTACAAGGGAATGCTCAGAAATCGAAGTGGCCAAAACAAGTTGCATACCTTTCGACAGTATAAAACGCTGACTTCGAGCTTGTATTCCATATCTGCTTAGCGCCTATGAGAGCGTAATTACGAGCCGTTAAAAGCCGTTATTTCGCTAAGAAAACTCGTGCATAAGCGCAAATTTGGCAGCACAGAGCCATGTTCGGCTTAATGCTGAGCCAAAACATGCAGCTAGGTTACTTTATATTTTCGAAGTAGTAGTGAGCTGAAAGTGCAACAAAGTGCTCAATTTCGCAATTTCTATGTACGATTTATTCCCAATAAAATTGCTCAACTTCGTCCACAGAGACGCGAAGCAGACAGGGAATACAGATTCGTCAGCGTTGAATGCTGTATTGGATGGTAAGCAGCTTGCTTGAATTGGCCACTTCGACTTCTGACCATTCCCTTAACAGCTTCCCGCTTTTGAATTAGCACCGTCCTAATTCACACAAACCACCATAACTTCACTCGGTAACTACTGAACATAAACTCGGGCTTTTAACGATACCTCCTGCCACTTCTAGGAATGATCACCCCACAAACCTGGAAGTGAGAGGATAGACAAAAACTTGAGTTTGCGAGATAAAAAGATATGTGTTTGTTGAGCGTAGCTGGAAAAAATATGCATATGAAACGTTCACCTGTAGCCTTCAGCTAGAAAACAAAAAAAAAAGTTTCATAAAACTCAAAAATTAGCATTTCTGAACAATAAAATAGATAAAAAGAGCATAAATCATGCACGTACCGACCAGTTTTGGAGCTCACAAACTTGCTAGGTATTGTGGCTGGTGTGATATCACCGGCGTGCAAAAATTCGTTGTCATTTGCGATATCGATGTAGACCACATCCCTTCTGGCGAGCTCCTCTGGAGGAAGACCGTGAGCCTGGAGAAAACATATGTACAGTGGAAGAAAAACGTAAAATGGAAGAAAACATACATTTTCTGTGGTGCCTCGGTCGGGAAGATGGATGGTCTCGATTTTTACAAAAAAATTTTCTTTCATGTAATCAGGGTTCTGGAAGAAATACTGAGAAATTTTGAAAGCTATCAAAACGAGCAAAACGCAAATTTTTACAATTGACTCACAGTAAGTACGGTCCTACAGTATGGGTAGGCGTTCCATGCCTCTTCATGAATAGCAAGTGAGCCTTTCGGGGCTATTTTCCGTATGATTGAAGGGACCTTCCTAAGACAAAGCGATAAGAAGAGTTGTTAGAGAATAAAGTCGAGATGCAAATCATGTAAAACTGACGATTGCAGATGATATATTTTGTGTGTGTACTGACCCTTCGAATATTTTCCATTCAATAACGGAACGCCATCAAATGGTTCATTTTTCAAGACCTAAAAAATTAGTAATAAATTTGTAGAGAATGTGGACATGAAGTATGAACGAACTTCTACTCCTTCGCCACCACCCGTTTCTGCTTTCGATGCCTCCGCCACGGACCACAATTGACCAACTTGATATTCTTCTACAGTCATGGGAAGGACTACCCGACTGAAAAGATGTTCAACAATTACAAATTGCAAGGCACAGAGAGCCTAACTCCTTGAAGTAGATTATATGACAATTGTTTCTGCTCAAGTACAGAGTTACCAACAAAAGGTGGGGGTATGACAACAGACAGGTGTAATAATCAAAAAAAATTATTGGTCTTTAAACGTATTAAAAACTGGTCAGCTTTTGCGTCGAAAGCCTAATGTTTTCGCAAACCATGTCATAAATTCAGGACCTTTCCTTAATCCGGCTAGTACCAAAAAGGAACATGGACCAGATTCCATGACCGATGTTCCATACATTTTATTTACATAGAAGAATAGAATAAGCCTTTAGCATTACTGGACCTTGAACAGATAAAGCCGCGATATTTTTACATGAACTTGACTTGAAGCTCCGATTTCTAGGATGCAGAGGGCAGAGTCTGCACAAGGAACCTCATGCCACGTGAAAGGCGACATGTATTCAAAAAAGAAAAAAATTGAACGCAAAATGCCTTGCCATAGTGCAAGATGAACAGATACAAAGTAATTAAATAAAAAGCATAAATAATAAATTGCGTGAAAACTTACTATTCTTTCACAATCATATTTTCAATATGTATATGAGGAAAGAGAGGAGATCCAATAGACTGCGACCGCTATAAATTTCTCTCCGTGCCAAGTGTCGGAGAATTCTGAAAAAATTAGAGTATCTCATTGTTGAAATGAGCGATTGGGAAACTGGCGGCCAACTAGATCGCCTGTAGATAAAAAGCACACATGGAAGAATCGGGACAACGTGCAATCGTCAGCAGCAGAAAAAGAGCTGATGATGAAATCAAAGCGTGATGAACAAATGTTTAAAGCTTGCTGCAAGCAGCAATTTGTTTTGCTTCAATAAAGAACTACAAAATTCTATGAAGTAAACTCATTACTTGTTAAGATAAGTTCCGGAATGTGCCGGAGGAAAAAACTGGAACAACCGCTCCCTTGTTGGGTAGAGCGGAAGTTGTGAATAAGATGCGTATCAGTTTTAATGAACCATAGAGAATGACAAACGCCTTGCACAAGTGACAGACAAGTTAAAACTAGTGTTCTGCTTTTCTCTTGATGATTTACCACTTGAAAATGAAACAAAAACCAGTCAGGACTTGTTAGACAACTATGCGTAGCGTTCTCAATTCTCTGCGTCTTAGAGATGGTTCTAAAAAGAGGTAAAGAGCTGGAATCTGGAACTAGTCGAAACTCCGAAAATAGAGTCAAACGATTTTATGCTTGATCGATATGAGCAAACAGACGAGAACTTTTAGGAAACATCGTATAAGCTGGCACGAATGTGAGCGAATCAGAAAAGCTTTGTGTGCAATTGCGTGTAGTCATCATGGTCGCACGCCAATCAGCGATCGCATCATCGCTGCGGGCATTTGCGACGAAGTTTCGAAACCACGCATCGACGCAAGCGCTACGCAGCGCTTTAGCGTCGGCGATGAGGAAGCACCACTGATGCCTATACCCTATAGAGAAAGAAGCGATAGCGAACGTCATCCGGCTCGGCCAGCCTATCGATTGGCGGCTTCGTCGACGCAGCACGGCTTCGTCGGCACAGAAGCGTTAGCGGCGCAGGTGTGCTGCGATCCGCGGCCGGATGCTGCGCCCTATCGCAGCTGCGTATCTCCGACGACGGCAACCGCGCACGGCTCTGATCTACCCGTCGGTAAGGACACACCTTTTTCAACCTCTGGTTGCATTAAGCAATAGCGATGAATGAGGCATTCACTCGAATATTGACGGACTAATACCACAAGTGAATAAAAAGTAGGGCTGCGTAAAACTCAGTATTGACTCGACCTCGCGAACGGAACTTCCTAAAAAAGGAAAAAAGTGCAGCAGCGACCAGATGCACTCTGGAAACGGCGCTTGAAACAGTCGATCAAATTCAATTAATGATATGGCGCAATTGCGTACTTATCGCATCTGCGCGCAGAGTCCAAGATGCCCAGATAGGTTTTTCTATAATTCTTTGTTTTCGCACATGATTGGTAATTAAAGTACATCACAGTCGATTGTTTTTATCTCAATATGTGTGAATGCACACATCACCCACATGAGGCGTGCCATCACGGATCTCGCTAGCCGTAAGGACGATCCCGAAGTGTTTCTACATCGCATCTGATAGTTTTCGTTCACATTTATCAGTGAAAGCACTCAGCAAAGGTTTTCCTGAATTATCTGAGCAAAGCGTTAACGCATTAAGATGGGATGGGCACGCGCAATGTGGAAGGTGTGTGCTTTCGCACACATAAAAATACGAAGCGACTGGGATTTCCCTAAATTAATATTATCCGTTAGAGATTAGCGGATATAATCTACTCCAGGGTAAAACACATTGAACTTACTAGTACAATACTTAGTTGCTTAAAAGTGTAGTCAAGTACAGGAAAGTGCTAAAAAAGGCAAGCGAGTAGGAATCTATGCGTGCACCTGCTTAAAATAAAAGTGGTTGAACAGGATTCTCTTGTTTAGCGAGAACAAGTTTCACAATTTCTTTATACGTCACCCGCTGGAAGTGCAGGCAAGTGACAACATGAAGAAAACTCTCAACACGTGCGCAAACAGTGCAACATGTATTTACGCGCAAATGTTGTATGTGCAAATGCGTATATTAATTTGACTCCTTGATTGCATGCAGGTACAGTCGAGTAGATTTTCCGCTCAGTATAGTGTGCTTGCACTGAAGGTGAAATGCGGTGAAATTTGCGCGTGAACAAGTAGCCACGCTAGTACTGCGAGCCTTTTGCGCGCGCAATTGGCCTGCGTCACGCGCGCAGCTATTTGTTCACGCGAAAATTTTACCGCATTTCACCTTCAGTGGCACACTATATTGAGAGGAAAATCTACTTGACTATAAATTATGAGCACAAATCAAATCAATCAATCACGGTTTGATCTGCTATTGTGCTACTGCTACCATTATAAGACTGACTTGAGAAAAAAGAAAAAGAATGAAGGAGAAAGAAAAGGTGAAGAGGAAGAAAATTTTTTGGGGAAGAGTGAGAGTCTTATGCTGCGCTTGATTCAGGAAATTCTGGATGGTAAAGTATAAGGCTACTTATAGCTTATGACTATACTAAAGAAATCATTTCTAAAACTCGTATATGTATCTAGATTCTTAGCTTTGAGAGGCACTGGATGAATCACCTATTAAGTAAGTTATCAAAGTGAATTCCAACCAAGGTGTGTCATGCTCAAATTATACAGCAAATTTTTTTGACGTCTAATTTGCCGTATAGTTGAGTCATCCATATCGCAAATGTACGCAATGCGTACTCGAGCGTACGTTCCGTTAATTCGCGTCCTCAAGTCACACTCATCGTCTGCGTCTCAGCTAATCAACTTGCACTTCACGATTTCCTTAGCAGAAACGCAGAGACGCAGAGATTCGCACTAACTCGCATCCATTAGCAAATGCTCACCTACTCATAAATAATTGAGATGCCAAGCGATTAGCGAAACGGCATAGCGATGAAAAACCCGTTTATGATAGCCGTAATCCGCTAATAAGAAAGTCATACATGGTGACGAGGCCAAAAAAGTATGAGTATGGGTGCCTTTTGAAACGCTGATTCAGAATTCCACTTTTTATATAAACGGCAAGATTCTCACATAAAAGCTCGCACTCCAATAGAAAATCGCTTTTCTTCGGGAATCTCGCACAGTGATAGATAAGTAATGTTTAATACTGCCAAAGTCACAGAATGTAGATGAAATGAATTTTGTGTACTGTATATAAAAGCGTTTCTATTGTACTATTTTCGAACTCGTCAATTTTGAAAAAAAAAACGTCTGCATCTTATTTGAGGTCTTTCGCTGATTCCGTAGATTGCGTATACTTATGTATTTCTATAGCCTGTTGCAGCCTATGAATTTTTCATTATTAGTTTCTTCAAGTGCCCATTCCCATCTTCTTCCTCCATTTCCTCAACTTTAAACCACTTCCTCATTTGCCCTTCCAAGTGCTTCCATGAGCGAGAAACTAGCGCCTCCCTCATCTAGTTCGCAGCTAGAGTATACTGTATTTTGGTTTGAGTTATTTCATAGAAAGATATTCCCTTGAGAGCAGTTCACAGCTACCACTGATTAAATAATCTGAAGAGTACAAGGCCATTGCATTATGGTTCAAAATCTTTTTTGGAGAAAACCATGTTGGAGTTCAATATGAACTGTTCTTGTCAAATTTCATCAGTTTTTTGTAATCCATTTTTGTTAAACATCGTGTTGATAAGCAGATAGACAAATAAATTAATGTAATGACTGAAGCAACATGGAGGCACGCAAGGACCCCCCCCCCTAGAATAATACTCTCAATGGTTATGACAGACCTAGGCCAATTCGATCTCGCTAGCAAATTCTAGTTTTTTCTATCTATTTTTCTTTCGACCATTGCTTAAGTCAGCATTATACCTTCTATGACAGCAGTTAACTGTTCAGTGCCAGTTCAGAGTCTATAAGAATGAAGACCAAGTAAGCCTGCTGAAGATTTTCAATACCTGAACTATGTATCAATTCGAGGTTTCAGGCGGACTAGAAATTTGTAGAGAAAGCATAAACCAGTCCTTTCACTATAAAGATCATTACCAAGATTGAGACATTTCATCAAATTCGTAGCATGCGCGGCGGAGCAAGACTGCATTTACCTTAGCTCTCACTATGACTAACCTTAGATTCTGCTTTTCCCAAATTAATAGCTTGATCGCACACAACATGCACATTAGCGTGTATTCCAGAATCTTGGTTGTCATAAACAATATTCCTAGCACCGGCAGTAGCGGAAATTCTTTTCGGAGGCGGGGGTTGTGCAAAATGAAATTTTTTGAACGAAAAGTGGCTATCAACCACCTCGGAAAAATTTTGTGAAAAGCTCCTGAAATTTGTGGAAACTCGTACCAGGGCTCGGCACAGGTAGCTTAGCAAGATGGATATCGTTTTTTGGACAAGAAGCAAAGGAGGTATCGTTTTTGTGGTGGGAGGAAAATTTGAGTGACGTTTTCTTAGTCCACGCTTCGTTTTTGAAGGTTTTCTACGTTTAGCGTTTGAGATCAAATAGGACTTCGTAAAATTTGGCGAAAGCGAAAGGGACCTCGTTCTTCGCATTGTCGAAACACCTCGTGCGGAGCCCTGACTCGTATACGCGGCGATTATGAACGGGGCAAGATTTTTCTAACGAGGTTTCGATCTCTAAGCAATTTATCATCTCAATTATTTACACATGAAACGTAACCTTCTGACTCATGCACGTAGACAGCTCCCAGACATTTCGCAATCCATTCTTTAACTAAAACAGCGAATAAAGTTTTTGAAAGATTGTGCAAAATAGCCAAAGAGTGCTATGATTTAACATAATGTGCACCTTATGTGCAATAAATAGATCACAAAGTTCACTTTATCTTATAGTAATAAAAAGATGTATCTACATGGATCCAATTTCAGACCAAAAACGCAAATTCGATAGTCTTGTACTAATGAAGTCATATTTTCAGTGGCAGAGCATCAATCATGAGGAACTAATGAAGATTTATGCGCCAAGAACGCTGACGCGGAAATTAATGTGCATATATTGATAGACGGAATATTTATAGGCACTGTCTACGGTGACGTGACTCCCGTGTTTTGGCCATTTCCAGACGAATACATGCCTCTCTTCCAAGTAAGAGGTTCAAAAGGCGTAAAAATCAAACTTGAAACTTTTTTGAGAGCAGACGAGTCACGCGTGCTGATTTTGCAGAAACAAGGCACCCAGGTACGCAATATGCGTATCGGTCATGCTTGACATGTCAAAACAAATCAGAGTGCAATTGCCGGATGGGCGGGATCGGACTTAGGCCAACTGACAGAGGCTTGGTCTCTAGTGGATGATAAACAATGTAAAGAATGCCGTTGACCATCGCTCATGGCTTTTCTCAGAAAATATGGTTACAGGGAGAAAGTGCCTGATTAGTGTTATGGACAAGCTTTCTAATTTACTATTATATTAGGTCATTCCGAAAGTAATTTCGCTTTTTTCAAACGGACGCCACATGTGATGGAACAAAGGTTCCTAAAAGATCTTGGAGGCATTTGATGCAGAATTTCGTCCCCTTTCTAACGATTATAAAATTATTGCAGCATATTCAATGACCTTTAAGAAAATGACCAAAATCTGCGACCCATGCTTTTTGAGATGGTCAAGTTTCACGATTTTTCAAAACTTTCAAATCAATCCTCAGAAGCAGTTCAAGTAAAGATTCGATAGAGTAAACTTTATAGAATACAGTACTACTTTTTTCTCTTCCTTACAGCTCGTCGTAATATTTTTTTAGATTTTCTTACAGAACTATCGGATTTTGGCAGGCCTACCTCAGCCACAATCGCATCAAACATCATAATTTTTCGGAATTCGAGACTACCAAGACGGTACTATGAGTTAGCATTAATTTTACAAAGCAAGTGAGGGTTTTCGGGTTCGAAACATCAAATTTTGAGTTTTTCGGGTACAGCCTGGGGCTCGCTAAAAAATTGAGTTATGATGATTTCTCCCCGGAAACTAAACGAATCGGAAACAAAAAACACCTATCAGGAAGAGGAGAAAATGCTGTATCGAATAGTGCGCAAGCTGCCTTTCTTTTGATGTTCTACGAGGATTTAGCTGCTCAAGTATGGAAATCGGTAGCATCAGTTAAAATTCTGCTAAAAATGTATTACAAGCTATGGAAAGGAGAAAAAAGTAGTACTATATCCTATAAGGTTTACTCTATCGAATTGTTACTTGAACTCCTTCTGAGGATTGATATGAAAGTTTTAAAAAATCGTGAAACTTGACCATCTCAAAAAGCATGGGTCGCAGATTTTGGGTATTTTCTGAAAGCTTATTGATTGTTTTGCAACAGTTTCATAACCTATAGAAAGAGAATGAAATGCTGCATCGAATGCATTTAAGATCTCTTAGAAACCTTTGTTCCGTCACATGTGGTGCCCGTATGAAAAAAGCGAAATTACTTTCGGAATGACCTAATATTTTTCGCTTTCGCAAATATTTTGCAAAGACGCATTTGATACTGAAGTTGGAAGAAGGTAACTCCAGCAGTAACCTTCCCTAATTTCTGCAGAAAAGGTCGGCCACCATTGGCGTGCCGAGGAAAGGGGCGAGAATGGGATTTAAAAATTTAAAAAAAGTCTACCTCAGACAAATCACCGAACTTCCGCAGGACAAGCCAAATTTGCAGAAGTTCCGCAGGACTTTGTTCACTATTGCCAAAATGAAAACGTTGAAAATCAGAACTTCCGCGGGATTTTCATGCCAAACTGGTTGAAAAGCGGAACTTCCGCAGAACCTTCTTCAAAATCCTGCGGAAATTCCGAAAAATGCCGGAGGTTCCGCAGCACTTTGGCCTGCCAGGACTTCCGCAGGACTTTGAATGTGTTGTCTCGTGATTTTGCCTCGCCAACAACTAGAGTGCATTATCGAACATGTCAGCCGTAGTGTAGAGGATAGTAGGTGGGTCTCACAGTCAATAGAAAGAGGTTCAAATCTCGCTTCGGTGTTCTCTTTTGCTGTTGTGGTTGGCATTCTTCGGAACTTCCGCAGGACCTCATTTCGGAACTTCCGCAGCACGTTTATGGAACTTCCGCAGGTGACCCGGCTGAACTTAAAAGCGCTCTGCGGAAGTTCCGGTCATTTGTCTGAGACATTAGACTTAAGTCGGCAGGCGGTGTTCATTCTTGTGAACAATAAAGCAATTGTAAAAAAAATATTTTGGGGTAAATTAATGTGTTAAAAAAGGTTTTTTGAAGTCGAGGTTATGAACACCCTTCAAAATCAAAGAACTCATGAGAAAATTCTTGCTGCCCTCCCTCAAAAAAAGCTTGGCCCACCCCTGTCCGAAACGCTCGATAACTCGGACATATGGACTCGGACGATGTTCACCGCCAAACAATTCAGAGCTTGGCCAAAACACTTGAAGGTGTCGCACTTGCGGCAATACATATCAGCGGAGGTCCACACAACCTATGGATAATGGGGACCATAGAATTTTTTTTTTGGAGAGGAAAGGAGGACACATAGTGGGGACGCGTGCCACTTTTCTCGAACACGTGGGTGGTACCCTTAGCGGATAAAACTAGGTAAAATGAAAACAATCCATTTCTGTTCCCTAGCCCATACGCAATTTTATTATGTTGAGAAGAAAAAAGACAAGAGATTACTAATATGAAAAAGAAAAAAGACAAGAAATTCTATGATAAAGAAAAATGACAAGAAATTTCTAATATAGTGATCTCACGAAATGAGTAGGCCCCTTCCACCATTTTCTACGATAATATTAAAATTTATCTCTAGGTGATACTGACTTTGAAGGAAAACCTTTTTTACAGATTATTTTTTATGACTCTTGAAAAGAGGAAAGACTTCGATAATTTACTTTTTATTGAAGAACTTCGCATAACATGACTCACGTAGGAAAAACCGCAACTTATTGTCGGGGGAGGGGGATGGGGTGGAGAGGGGAGTGGGCGGGGTGTGACACATTGCTATGGCGAATGCAAATTGAATTACAATAGCACTAACCAACTTCATAACTAATCGATATCTCCTTGCATCCCAAGCGTAACAAACAATTCTTTTCATTATTGAAAAAAACGCAATATGAAAGAAGGTACCAGTGGCAGTGAAGGCCAGCACTAATTCGATGCACCGAAGCATGCCATTAAGCTGTCCGTGCAAGCACTCCCAAAGCGGCCCAGAAAAAAAAAGAGAAGAGGGCATTAGTCAAGCATGTCGAGTGATTTGTATGAGGGAGATGACGGACAAAGAGATGAGCAATTAGTGTCCAGCCCTTAGAGAAAATGACAATAAATTTTACGGCTGACTCATCAGGTGAGTCAAAATCTAATAGAATACTTGGAGGTTATTTCTACTTCAAGCGTATTGATGAAAAACATAAAATCAGAGATGGACCTACAGTGAGGTAGTGAAGATGATTATTTCAAAATCAAAGTGCCTTAAAATTTTAACAAACTCGAAATATTTCAGTAGCTCGTCGCGACGCTTTTTTTTTCTAAATTTGCATAGCTATTCGTACATGCTCTATACAAGCTTAGTCCTCTATCCTGAATTTTCGAGAGCTGGCCTTGATCTGCTTGACGGATGCTTTTTTTCTCTTTTCTGCTTGTGTCTAAATGTTTTTGTTGATTCTTCCGGGTATGCACGCCTTGTGCGTAACATATAAATGAACAAATAAATATAAATAGCCATGAACTAATAAAAATTTTGAAAGCTTTTCCTTGTCGGAAAAACATAATTGAGCCGTTTTATTAGCAGCGAAGAAAAATTTTAGCAAAAAAAATTTAGACAGCCAGTGGAGCGGGCATGTTGAGGTAATCCCATCTAAACAAGACTTCACTTAGGTTCGTTTAAACACGACATCTAGATTCAAAATGATTTACAAAAAGTTCTTAGTGAAAATCTCTTAAAGACGATATCAGTGAGAAACAAAGGAAAATTCACTGTCAGATGGAATTTCAGACAGCAGCAGAATTTCCTCCCTGAGTTTGGCCTCGATGTCCAGTGCATTGCTGAGGGAAAAAGAATGGAAAGACGAAGGAGAACGTGGAAGAAGAAATGATTCGTGAATCGTGAAAGCAAAAGCAAAATATAGAAAAAGCAATGGCGGTCGAAAAGTTGAATGAAATTTTGTCGCAGATTACGTATATAGTAACGTCATCACGACTAGAAAAAAAAATACTCAAGCAAACAGCAGAAATGAGCAGAAATTGTATAAAGCCAGACTGCTTTTCTTATCAACCGCAATAAAGAATTTTTGTCACTTTTGAGGTGTTTTATCTCATTTTTAAACTTGATAAGTCGTTTATCTTCGATTTCATCCCAAGGAAGAGTTCAGAATTCGAAGCGTCTCGCTTTTGTTTCTCGATAAGCATCTATAAACTGTTCTAGCAAAGGATTAATTTGATTACTTGACTGGGAAAGTAGGGGGTTTTGAGCACCAGACACAAACATAAAAAAAGCGAGAACTGTAAGAGTGGCTTTCTCTGAATTTAGAGCCTAACCAATTCCCCTCATTCGTTATTTCGGAACCGATTATTCGGTGAAATTTATTATGAACAAAATGCATATCAAAGCAAGCGAAGTTTGTAAACGATTTGCCCAGGGAGGAAGAAAGTATGATCGGCTCCCAGATTAGTGTGGAGGCGGGCTGCGGAATCCCCTGATTTCAAGGATAAGCTCAACGTGAAAGTACGAAATACAGTGCTATAACGTGGTTTCAACAAGTTTGCCCTGAGAATCAGGGAAGTCTGCAACCCGACAGTCTGCAACCCACGACACGAATTTTTGGGAGCCGATGATAGGTTTTAGTCGAATGACTTGATGAAAAAATGTGCAGGCGCCCGTATAACACCGACGATATTTAACATGAAAAACAACATCGAAAAAATCAATCCATAGGTGAAGAGAGAAAAAACGTGACCCGGTGGTTGCATGTTCAACACTGAGTCGCGAGTATTGACGTGACAGATGTGTTTGTCACGACCTAGACGTTGTGCACCTGGGTCTCCATGACGTTGTAAGAACTGAAACAGGTGATCTTCGATGTTTCGCGCTGGAACCGGTTACGCTCTAGAACGCTTTTGTTTTTCTTGCTACCCAGCTGTTTCGTTAGATAAGAGACTATGATTAACAAAATGATTATTTGAGGTTGCAATTTGGTCCTCGAGATTATGAATAACAAAATTACTAGCACAGTTGCAAGAGCTTTCTTTAGAGGAGGGGAACACAATGTGTATTTGGGGCTAACAACGTTTTTCAAGAGGTGTGGCCCTGGGTGAAATTTCTCTGATGCTCCCTAAACGTTTTGCAAGCTTACAGAGCAGGATTTTGGCTTTTCTGATATATTAGGTTGAACCGAAAGTTCTGTCGCAGCATTTTCAAAAAATCATAACTTCTTTCCGCCACGACGATTTTGCGCAATTCAAATTTTATCTGAAAGCGTAAAGTATGTAGTTTCCAATATCCCCTGGAGACTTTCCAACATGCTCAGGTTGCAGAGATAAAAATGAAAGAACGAGATCATCCGAAATTCGGAATTAAGGAAAAATTCTAAAAATCTAGAAACTTTGCAATAAAATCCAGAACAGCGATCATCCCAAGTTTTATTATGATTTATTACTAACTGAGTTAAGTTTGTACCGATAGAGCTCTTCTTTCAAAAGTTATGATTTTTGAAAAAAAAAGCCGAAAAATCAGTTTCCTAAGAATTCTCAAAAAATCGATTTTTCGGCATTTTTCTTCAAAAAATCATAACTTCTGAAAGAAGACCTCGATTAGCACAAACTTGACTCAGTTAGTAATAAAATATAAGAAAGCTTAGGATGATGGCTGTTCTGGATTTTATCGCAAAGTTTCTAGATTTTTAGAATTTTTCCTTAATTCCGAATTTCGGATGATCTCGTTCTTTCATTTTTATCTCTGCAACCTGAGCATATTGGAAAGTCTCCAGGGGATATTGGAAACTACATGCTTTGCGCTTTCAGATGAAATTTAAATTGCGCAAAATCGTCGTGACGGAAAGAAGTTATGATTTTTTGAAAATGGTGCGACAAGGAGGAATGTTAGAAGTAAGAATTTGGGAAGAATTGATTATTGATGGAAATCTCCCATCGTATTACAAAAGATCGCTGTATCTATTCGTGTTTGCGTGGCCGATTGATTTCCATTGTTTTCGCGTAGCCTTGTAGAAGTCACAAACAGCTAATTTTAGAAGTCCAAAGTTTCTTTGGAACAACGCGGCTCTGCTACTTGTATTAAATTGTATGATTTCTCTGAGATTAAGAATTTTGCAAATGTTCAGGAGAAAGATAGGAAGAAAGATTGTATTAGTGTAACGAAGCAGACAAGAATTGGACGACTTGTGCAGTCATCACTTCTGATAACATTAATGCTCTTTTCTCAGGCATTTCAAACTTTTGAACTATGGTCGCGATCTAGATGATAAGGCAGGAAGCAAGAAAATTATAAAAATCTTGACCTAAGGATTTACAGGACCTTAAAGGCAGTGTCTCACCAAAGTTGAGGTCGCGCTGATCTTCACATATTCTGTTATAGGGACCTCTAGATAGGCCATTGCAACAAGTCCCACTCAATTTGACCCCCTCCACGCTGAGAAAAATTCGCCTAAAGTGGTACGCGAAGAGCGGTGTGGTAGCGCGGACGACTCCTTCGGTCTCCCCCCTTACGCGTTTGAACAGGTCCCTCCACTTGGCATCCATCCACCTCCCCTCTGTTGCTGCCACTGTGGCTGAGGCTGAAGTTGGAAGGCACAACTCGTCCACGTTGCTTCCACGGGGCTTCCAGAAAACGGAGTTTTTGGGAACCACGTGCGATTACAAGCTTATACAGTGCTAGACAGGGTCCGACAGGCTTGCAAAATGCAAAAATCTCGGCAACTAAATTTTGGTGAGACACTGCCTTTAACAATAAATTCGGCAGAGTCAATGCGCCGCGTCGAGTCCCTTTTCACACCTGCTTTCTCTTTTTTGTTTGTTCGCATTTGGGTGCAGAATTAAGAATAGAAACTAGGGGACAAAAGTTCAAAATCAAACACATTGTGTTTTGGATTTGGCTGCTGTCAAATTTTGCAAATGCTTGTTGTACTTGCAGATAATTAGAATAATTGTTGAGGGTTTTGAAGATTTGAATTACCTTGTGAAAAAACTGTAAAAGTGTTTACTGCCGCTCTCTTCCTCCATCGCAAAAAATTCTTTGGACGCCGCAGTCAAATGCGAATGGAGTTTCCCAAATTCGCCGATGCACAACTTGTTTTACTCGTTTCTAATTTGAAATTTTTGAGAAACAATCGCACACATATTTCAAGGAAAGCGGAAGAGAAATTCAAGAACCTGGGTGGTAAACGCGATTTGACACAAAAAAACAGGCACGCTCCAGCGGACTATGTGACTAATTTCTTCGCTGTAAAGTTAATTATTCAGCCATCCTTTAACACAAAAGGAGCTTGACAAATGAAAGTACGGCGATAAACCGAGGCAGATGCTGTTTCAAAAGGGCAGTGACTACGAAAGACTATGGGATTCGTCTGTCGCAGTAGAGTTGGAATTATAGGCCAGAAAAAATTGTAAAGAGGGTCTCACAAAGCCAAATGGTGCGACAAAAATGGTCGAAGTGTTTGATTGGATGTGCACATTGCGGGGAAGCTGGACGTTGATTGACTTCTCTTGTTAAAGGCAGTGGGTCGGCAGAATGAGACCTGTAGCAAAACAAGGTCACAGGGTAGGAGCCCCCATAATGGAACCTATGGGCCAAAGTTCGTTTCTCTGCCAATCCTCCCCGAAATTTCAGAGCGAAAGCAGCGCTCATCTCCTCTCCTCTCCGACCCCGCCCACCCTCGGAAGAGTGAACGCGAAGTCCGTCATGGCGAAGACGCAGAGTCGTTACGGTACCTCATGCTTATAGCATTGCGGCTGCGCGCTCTGACCGTGGAAGTCGCTCGTCCATGGGGTGGGCGGGTTCGGAGAGGACAGGAGATGAGCGCTGCTTTCGCTTTGAAATTTCGGGGGTTAGAAATGGCAGAGAAAGACCGAACTTTGGCCCATAGGTTCCACTATGGGGCTCCTACCCTGTGACCTTGTTTTGCCACGGGTCTCATTCTGCCGACCCACTGCCTTTAACGGTACGAGTATTGAGAAAGATTTTTTTGTTATCTATAGTCCTCGTGGACGGATGTCTTTCATCAAGTTAGCAATGCTTTGTATTGTGCATTAGTACAAGTGTTGGCCACTGTTGCGTAGCAAAGGGCATTTCAGACGTTAATTTGCTAGAGGCAAAGTGTTTCAAACCTGACATTTTTACCTAATTTTTGCGCAATGCTCAGGACAGCACACTCGAGATAAACATCTCACTTTTGTGTGTTTGTGTACAGCGTCGTAAATTAGCATGTTTTTTCTTTGAATCATTGCAATCCACCAATTGCTGATCAGTACTTCTTCGTTATCGTGCTTTCTTCTTGTTCTCATAAGGGAATATCAACTTAAGTTGGCGATTGATCAAGAGATGTATACACTAGATCCTTCTCTGAACGCTATTCTAATTGCTTTCCCCTTTTGCCTAACAACTCTCCTAAAGAAATTATGAACTTTTCAAATGTCCGAAGTTGTCTTTCAGCTGGCATAAAATTAACGAAAAGCTCTTCCAAAACACTCATGCAGTTTTCACAGGCTGTGTTCCATTCTTGTAGTTGGTATTTTGATACAAGATTGGTTACCTCCTTCACGTGCTTTTGCAAAGCTTTTCGCCAAATTTATGCAACTTGAAGCTTGACAAATCTGCACATTCAAAGGCTCAAAACTTCTTTCGGAAAGGGTTCTGCAAAAAGGAAGGCAGATTTGGAATCAACGTTTTAAGACGCATCTAGCTATATATCTTTTCAATCGCCAACTCAACATGGTATCCTTCCCCTGTTCGTCCTAACCAGGATCGAGCGAGAGGAGTGGCACATGGCCCCATATATGCCTCCCCCA